TTTCCCTACTCATACACTATTTGTGGTAAACCCTCATGCCCAGCAGGGTAGTAGATTAGATGGCATGCTGGTTGTGTTGTAAGGATCATCTTCTCCCTGTTGGTAATCTAGGGTTGCCAGCCTCCAGGTGGGCACTGGAGATCTCCCGCTTTTACAACTGATCTCCAGCTGGCAGAGATAGGCTCCCCTGGAGAAAATGGCTTCTTTGAAGGTTGGACTCTGTGGCATTGTACCCTGCTGAGGCCCCTCCCCTCCCCAAACCCCGCCCTCTTCTGGATCCAACCCCAAAGTCTCCAGGTATTTTCCAACCCAGACCTGGCAACCCTATGGTAATCACACAGTTGGGACATTTAAGACAAAAACATTTTTCAAGCATGCTGGCACTGGCTGCTTCACATCAGACATGGCTGTCATTCACAGCCCAAAATGCATACAGATTTCTTGAGTACAAGAGGATTTGCAGTGTTTGCTTGTGTTAAACTTGTTTGGTCTTCTTTGGAATGCTTTATTTTCAAGGGGGGAGGGGAATCCCCTGATAGGGCATGGGGGAGTCATTCTGAATGCTGAATAGTTTGAATGCAAAGTGTAGTCACAGAGAAGTAGGAAGATGTTAGTTGTTTAATGAGACAACACCATGCATAATTTTGAATGGGAAAGTTTTAAAAGGCTGAAGGAAGAGGCCATAAACGTTATATGTTATATTCAATTGATTTTGTTTTGAATTTCCGAAGGAAAGCAGCCATGCAGTAAAAACATATTGTACTAACGTCTTTTATTGTGATAAATATGAGTATACAGACTTTTTCAGTTTGACAGCTCTTAATAGAATGTAAAATTACACAGAGAGGATTTTAATAAAAATGGAACAAACAGGCATTGCACAGAGGTGGTTGTCATTTACTAATAACAATTAAATACCATTATTTGAGGCTTGTATATACCCTTTGGTTTAAGGATGTATTGACTGTGAAGCCTTGAAAGGATGGTGTTCACCTTTAATTGCATGATAACCAATCAGAAATGTTTATAGATCTTATGCAAGTTTTTAAAAACCAGTTTTTAAGAACCTGCTAACATAAAAAGAGGCTTGCAAGATCAGACCACATGTCTGTCTAAAGATCATCATCCTGTTTCTCATGGAGGCCAGGCAGAGGCACTTAAGAAAGCCACAAACAGAGTATAAAAACCATAGCTTTCCCTGGTGTGGCTTGCAGCAGCTGGAATTCAAAGATGTACCATTTCATTATAAGCAATAGCAGAAACCCATCCATGATCTTCTTTCATTTCTCATGTGAAAAGGGAGTTTATATGCTAGTCAGTGATATGTGGACTTTCATTTGTTTACATTTTTCAAATAGTCACTGAAGTTCTTGGTAATAACCTGAATGTTTAGATCTGCCATTCTCAGGACTGAATTAGCACTCCATTGGTATTTTGTAAGGTCATCTCCAATGATCTGCATAATATGAAAATCTCCAATATCTGGTATGAGATAGTCTATGGTCCCTTCTGAATTGAAATCCCAGGGATGTTTTTCACATGTACATTTTCATAAAGGTAAAGGTAAAGGTTCCCTTGCTCGAAAGCCAGTCGAATCCGACTCTAGGGTTGCGGTGCTCATCTCCATTTCAAAGCCGAAGAGCCAGCGCTGTCCGAAGACGTTTCCGTGGTCATGTGGCCGGCATGACTAAACACCAAGGCGCACGGAACGCTGTTACCTTCCCACCGAAGTGGTCCCTATTTATCTATTTATCTACATTTTCATACATGGCTATTATTTCTGTTTAGGGAGAAATGGGTACATGTATTCTATGATCAATGCTCCCTCTAAGCTGTGGAGTCTTGTGAGCAAAAATTCTATTTTGTGAGGTACTGGCATTAAAGTTGTGAGTGAGCAATTTGGCTGCTGCATAAATTAGTTTGCTCTGGAGCCGTCCTTCCTGAGCTAAGACAAAAACGTGTAAGCTGGAGGCTAAAAAGTTGTGAGCTAGTTCACACTAACTCACCTTAGAGGGAACACTGTCTATGATGTGCCTGTTTTGATATATGTATGTGTAATATCATTCAGTGCATGCCATAAGTTAAAGTTGCACAGCTGTCCCCTACACATCTGTATAGAAGTGGACCTACGTGATGGTAATACAAGATACATGTGCTGGGTTGCCATCTGATTCTTACAGAGTATATCAAATCTACTTGTGTAAGAATTTGTCACCAGTCTGCAGTTTGTCTCAGAACAGCAGACTACCCCAAAAGTGGTCAGTGGAAAGTTCCATGCAAGATGCAGAAAGCATTCATATGCATACACACGTACACACATGTCACACATACATTTATATCAAATAAGGTGTGGGTTGACACAAAGTAAAGTCCTGCCAGAGATCCAAACCAAAGTTGGATATAAATCCACACATCTAACTTTGCTACTCACTTCCGTACTGTGGCTAATGTTAGCATATGAGCTAAATATTTGCTTTTATATATGTTTGTGGTTGCTGACACACCTGGACTGTGCTTATGAATCCCTGTGGGTTTGGGAACTCTGTGTGTCTGTGTGCTGGGACAGCATCACCTGACAGGCTTCCTGCCTGCTGTTTATGCTAATGTAGTATGCACACACACACAGCTGGCAAAGGATCATGGGAACAAGACGAACATGGTGGGCCTTTGTTAGCAGAAAACAACAACTCTTGGGTTGCGTATTCTCCATTACTGAGAGAGAGGGTATCGCGCCCAGCAGAAACCTGATCTGCATCTGAATCCGTTTTCTGTCAAAGATGTCAGGAGCTTTTGCACAACAAAGAGATGTCCTCCAGTTGAGATTCACCACATGGCCAAAAGGGAATTCCAGGAGATAGCAATAAAGTTTCAAATGTTGCCCCATCCACAGTAACCAGCCCCCTTGCTACATGCAGCCAATAGGGAGAAGTTATGGATCTTGAAAGTCAGGTGAGATCATGAGCAGGCAAGCACCTCCCTCCTGAAGTTTACTCTATATAGCACAAAGCATGCTTTCAGCCAAGCCTTGCCTTGCTGTGTGCCTTGCCTTGCTTTGAGGGAGAGAGAGAGAGAGCTGAATAAAGCAGAGAGCTGCTGCCCTGCTTTAAGAGTGGGAACCAGCTTCATTCCACCAGCAACCATGCTGTTGCTGCCAAATTAAACTGCTACTGAGATGCTGGAAAGAGAGAGAAAGATGTTTCAGCGGCTGCTTTTGATGCTGGCCGGCTGGCCATGCATCCCAACCTCCCTAATCTTTCCTTAAGATAAAGCTCTCTATTGAGTTTCTCTGAAATGCGCAATCAGAGAAATTCTGCCACATCAGCCAACATGTTTTGGAGATGTGGAGAGAGCACCAAACCCCAGGGATCCTTCCCTTCCTATCACACCAGCAACAGACCTGGACTTCTAGACAGGTGAGCATATCATTGTTTCAGCCACATCCCTATTTCTAAGTAACCAACGAAACTATTTTGTCTTCATTTCTGTAATTCTAAAAGGAACTTTGTCTGTGTGATTGAGTGTGAGATTCTGTTATTGTATGTATGTGAAACCAAATATTATTACTCAGTAAAAAGAACAACTTGATTTTAAGATACTAGCCTTGTCTCCATTTATAACTGGGAAGTTCCTCGGGGGAATTTAAATCCTGTATACATAGGCTACAAGTCCACCAAACATTTATTTATCTTGCCTCTGTCGTATATAAGGCACTTAGGCTAACACTGCAATCCTAAGAACACTTTCCTAGGAGTAAAGCCCATTAAATAAAATCAGACCTACATCTGAGTAGACTGGTTTAGGATTACTCCCAGTATAACCAGATTTGATTGTACTTAGTTTGCAATCACTGAACTTAATTATGTTTCCAACGGCATGATTTTGATAATGTTTTTTTTTTCTCTTCCAACCTAGATGCTTTTGTTGGTGGGGTCATTGGCCTCATATTTGCTTACATTTGCTACAGACAGCACTACCCTCCATTGAGTAACCTGGCTTGTCACAAGCCCTATGCCAGCCTTCTGGTTCAGACATCGCTGAAGAAAGAAGATACATCTGCAGTGGATAATGCTACCAGCCTGCCTCTAGAAGGGATAACGGAAGGTCCAGTATGACTAATACACCTGCAAGATGAACTTTTAGCTCTTTCATACATTCCGCCAATCCAAACTGGTCTCTCTGCATAATAGTATCTCTTAACAGCTGTGAGTCTGCCATAACCTCTTCCTTTCATTACTCCATTTCCTTGCACTTGCATACTTTCTTCCTTGGGTTTCATTTGTTTTTGGGTTTTTTTTGTTATACACTGTTCCCTACAAAATAAAAGAATTGTTCATGGAAATAATGTTTCTGAAAGAAGCAAACATTTCAAGAGGACAAAGACTGAGATGAGACCTGTGAGATGCTGTTAATTATTATTAATCGACATTTATGTGGCACTTTTTATGTGGAGAATCCTTTACAATCCATAGCTTATTCACACTTGCTCCAGTCATGTGAAGTAGGTCATTGTTATTCCCATTTTAAGGATGTGGGGCTGACAGAATGGAAGAGAATGGCTTATCTGCTGAAACTGTGGCTGATCCAGAATGTGATCAAGTTTCAGGACCAACCTTTCATCCAGTGGACTGTATCAGCTACAGATGGGGGGGGGGTCTGTGCCTTCTGCTGAGAAGTTCTGGGTGATCTGAACTGCCACTGATGTCAGACCTACTTTCTCGAGACATGTCCAGCAGATGGCAAAATTAGGCCCTTGGATTTGTTCCTTTGTATCTCATATCTTTGTATACAAGTACAGCAATTTTCTGTTGCTGGTTGTCTTAACACATGGTGTGAATATTTTTTGTGTGCTGCCCATCAAGTTTTGGCAGGATTATTCTGAACTGGCTACAATGAAATAATGTTTTTTAAATACACAGAAGCATGAGAGCTGGAGAAGGCCAAGACTGCTGGCAGAAGTCATTCCTGAGCAAGATGTTGACAGTACAGTCATGCAAAGCTATCGGAAGTGTCAGCTGGCAATAACATATGTTGATAGGATCACTTGGACACTTTGTATTAACACATTAGTGTGTTTTTTCCCCTTGAGAGCACGGTAGTCATTACTTTCAAGCTGAATGAATCACTTGAAAACAGCAAGCTGTGATCCTTTTAAAAAAAAATCAAAAAATTGCAAAGGTGAAAGAACACATTATTGAGTGTGTGAATTTGAGCTATATATTCTTGTGTCATGGTTTCTGTAGACTTGCTGAAGCACTGGGGGTAGTTTCCCGTTCCCGCAAGCTGCTCTGGAACGCCTGACTTCCAGCACCATATGTACTTAGTCATTTATTTTTAAGAGCTTTGTTTGCTGCCTTAGCAATTATGAATCTAACTCTTCCTTAAGTGCAGAGCTTAGATAGCTATTATACTACTACCCATGCATGTGTGAGGGCGTTGTTTGCTAGCATACATTCTAACAGTTGTAGACCTCATTTCAAAGCCACAGAAAAGGCTCCTGGAGAAGGCTGAATTGAAAAACTCAGTAGGAAGACATAACTCTTTCTTTTTTGTCACATATAAATGCAAGATATATGTCAGTGGTCAAAATTGGAATTAATCTTTGGTGGGTGGTCATCTGGCCCATGGAAAAACAAACCTGCTTTTAAGAAAGAAAAGTCACAGCTCAGATTTATGAACCTGGTATGGCATTTTCCAGATGTGCAAAAAAACCCCAACACATTTCTTGAAGGAAGACTTGCATAATATTAACTCGCCCACAAGTCCCTTTCCAGATCATGAATATTTCTGCAAAACCTCCTGAAGCTGCTGGCTAGAATATAGTGAGGTTAAATACAGGAGTAGCATGGATGTTTTCTTTCCTTAGCTCCCTTATCAACAGTGATGTGCATGGTTACTGATTCAGGGCCCTAAGACCTGAAAGAAAATATCTGGCCCTGGGAATAGTTTTAGAGTTCCCGTTCCAGCAAGGGATGCATGGATGAAGTCCTCCAACTTTGTGCATGTTGTCCTTACTGGATTTAGAGTAACTTGTGAGTAATTAGTTCACGTTGGTTTGTGTGTGTGTGCTGGCTACCCAGCTATTCCTTTTAATGTTGTAGTAAAAAGAACACTGTGGGGGAAGATATTATATATGATCATCTGATAAAAGGAGTTTTGCTTGATCAAGCAACTAGACTAATGGAGTCAGCTTTGATCAATGGTGCTTTATGGTGCTTTAGACTAGATGGGATTGCTGCCATCGTTACTCTTATAACTAATGTAGGCTTGATGGACAGTACATCGGTCTTGTAGGCACTCTGTGGTTCAGCAAGCTTTGTGTCTTTCTGTAGAAGATGGTCACTTTCTTTGTCAGATTTTATGCTTGAAAAGCTATGTGAGGGAAATCTTTCAGTTGATGTGTACAATTTTTATAAGAAAATATCAATTGAATAAAAAAATCAAAATAAGAATGTTAAACTCATGTATGGAATACATAGAGTAAATTACAAAAAAAATACTGAAAAGCCCCATGGGGATGAGACCTTTCTTTTTGTTAGTATCCTGTATGTTCATGTATTAGGAGGTGAAATATATGATGGAAATATGGATTTTGCACCTCTGTATGAGTAGGAAGAAGAGACAAGTACAAATGGATGCAAAACCATCCTGGAATCAAAAATTGCCTTTACTGAATAAATATGCAATAGTGTACCCTTGCCCTATCCAGTAGTCTTTGGGTCCCCAGTTATCAGACAATTATTTTTTAAGTCACTTGTGTTGCTAGGGGAATTTTCACACTTGATGGTGCTGTGTCTGGTTTTTTTAAAAAAACAGAATGAATTCTGTTACTAGAGGTGCTCTATTTTTTATTCAGATATCTGTGATAGGAAACATTGAAAATCCAAATATGTGGTATATGCCAGCTAAAACTGTGGGGGCGGGCTTAGGTGGCAAAATGGTCCCAGATTTTATTCTTGGCTGTCTTTGAGAAGAACACCCAAAGCCTTGTTATGGGAACCTGCACTTATGAATAAGAAAAAGCTCAAGTAATCTTTGGCTTAACATGTTACTGGAGGTATAGCTGTTCCTCTGGTTTCGGATGCCATATAGCTGATCAGGTATAAGTTTTCCCTCCAAGGCTGTGCCTTTTCCCACTTTGCCAATAATGTCACCTTCCACCTCTTCTGTGTCGGTAGTTCAGCAGTTCAAGACCCGAGTGTGCCGCATGACGGAGTGAGCTCCCGTCTCTGGTCCCAGCTCCTGCCAACCTAGCAGTTTGAAAGCAAGGAATGGCAAGTAGATAAACAGGTACCGCTTCAGTGGGAAGGTAACAGTGTTCCATGTGCCTCAGCATCTAGTCAGGATCACGGAAATGTCTTCGGACTGTGCTAGCTCTGCGGCTTGGAAATAGAGATGAGCACCGCACCCTAGAGTCGGACTCGACTGGCTTTCGAGCAAGGGAAGCCTTTAAATGAAAGCTACAAGTGGCTACATGGGCACCATTCCATTTCAACAGTGGCTTTTGGAGAACCATCAGAACTGTGGTGGATCTTTCGGTGCTACCAAATCAACACACTGTCTTGAAGATATTAACTGAAGGGTTGACTTTCCATGGTGTGTGCATGTAAAGTGTCATCAGGTCACAGCCAGCCCCATAGGGTTTTGAAGGCAAGAGGCTAACAGAGGTTGCTTGTCATTGTCTTCCCCTCCATAACAACCCTGGAATTTCTTGGAGGTCTCCCATCCAAATACTAACCAGGGACAGCTCTGCTTAGCTTCTGAGATGTGATGAGATCAAGTTAGCCTGGGTCATCCAGGTCAGGGCTTTCCATAGTAGCCCAGTTCAAAGGAAAGAACTGCCACAGGTTAGAAAGCAGCTTTACTTGGCAAGCTATTTGCATGCAGATTTTCACCGTGCCATTTTAAGCTCTTTTCTGTCGCTTCCAATGCTGTGGCAAAATCAGAAGAACTGTTGTGCAAAAAACTTCCATGTTGTTGCTTTCATCTGTGGCTATGGCAGAGCCAAGTGTTTGAACCCTGCCTGGATTCACAAAATGATTTTAGGATACTATCAATCCCCTCCGTTTCCTTTTCCCCATGTGTACGGTCTCTCCAGTGAATAATGCTGTCTTCCTAGTTCTGTCATTTGCGGAAGACTGTTTGGACTGGAATCTGGAAACCATCAGTGTTATGGCACTCGTCTTCCTCAGCCGATCTTTACCACTTCTCCCCCTCTCCTAGCAGCCCCCTTTGGTCCCTGAAAAGCTGATGCTGTGGCTTGAGAGAATCAGGTGGACCAAATGCTATGTTTGGAAGACTGCAGTGAGGAAGAGAAATCTGGTGTTATTCCTCCAACACCCTCTTCCTCTCGTGGCACCAGAGGCTCCAGTAGCAGAAGAAGCAGGTAAAGGTGATTCCCCCCCCCCATTTTTATACCACCCTGCAGTCTGCCAAATGACATTTTGCCCATAAGGTTCACAACGTCTCAAGAATCATCTTCTTGTGTGTCAAAGGAGACTACTTTGCGAGAAAAGGGTTAGGAAATATTTGTGCCTGTGAGTGACTTCTGTTCTTGGTCACAGGATCCAATCTAAAGTTTCTTACTGATGTAAGTGAATTTCGTGAGTTGCTATATTAATCTAACTAAACTAAAAATCCCCCCATTTTTATACCACCCTGCAGTCTGCCAAATGACAACATCTCAAGAATCATCTTCTTGTGTGTCAAAGGAGACTACTTTGCGAGAAAAGGGTTAGGAAATATTTGTGCCTGTGAGTGACTTCTGTTCTTGGTCACAGGATCCAATCTAAAGTTTCTTACTGATGTAAGTGAATTTCGTGAGTTGCTATATTAATCTAGCTAACTAAAAATGTGAGAGCTTTTCTCAAAAAAATGCTGTTTGATTTCTCTGCAACATGGGGCAATGATGGGATTGATACAATTGCCTCCTTTCCTCTCTCAATTCTTAACACATTCTATCTTCCTTTGAATTTAATCAGCGCTTTCCCCCCACAGTTAAATGAGTCCTAACTAATAAAATGTCAGGATATAAAATTCAATGCAACATAAACATATATACTGATGGATAAATGGTTGGAAAGGACTTTGCAGTGCGCTGAAAGAATAAAGTGTT